TTACTTTCAGAGCAGCCCAAAAGAGACACATAATCTCTYACCTCAAAGATGACACATTTCCCAACCTTGCCGTATTTCTCACATTCCTCCTTAGTTTCAACTTCAAGGTCTTCATCCACCTCCCCAGCACCAACCATGTTCTGGAAGTTAAAGAATAAACCAAACTCACTGGATGGAGTCTGTGCAGGTGATTGAGTAGACAAATCACAGATGCTCTGAGAACTGTGACCATGAATGCTTTAAAAGCTTAAGAGCTACAGGAGACAGCTCCCTGTCCCTAAGACAAAGGAGCTGTACAATTTAAAGCAGTGCTGATTTAAAGACACAACTTGTACCTCAGGAAGTCACATAATTTCTCCAGAATGCAAAACACCATGTGGGTGCAGGCCAGAACTATTTGAACTGTGTAGAGTGTTGTATCAGGAACTGAGGTTTAAAAATTTCAACACTAAGACATGTTCCCTTACTCCCAACTTACCCTCAGTAAGACCACTTTAGTTGGGCATTTCAGGATCTCGGTCAAGGGGTTGGAATCTGCCTTCTTGCCCGTTTCTATTATGAAGATAGAAAAGTGAATCATGGAATAATTTAAGATTAAAGCTCAACTGGGACTTATATCAGAATCTTATTGATWGAACAGTGGAATAAAAATCACAAAATGTAATTTCATATTGGTAAGGGACAGTTATACACAACTTCTACCTAGAATGWTAGTAAGCAAAACAGTCAATTCAAATGACGTGAATTAAGCAAGAACACTGACAATGTACTATTTCTTTGAGGAAAATAGTTCGTAAGTTCAGATTTGCATAATATAATGTATCATATAATTGTATAATAAAAATCAGATCTCCTGACTTCCACCACTTGWGCTCAGGCAGAGGTGCTGTGCCAGTAAGCCTGGGCACTGTCTCTAGATCAGACAACAGCATGGAAATGAGGGCAATATCTAGGGGATGTGACAGGAGAAAACCCCCAAGGGCAGAGCAGGATCAGCCCTAGAAGATGTTTCCAAACACCAAAGGAGGACAACTGATGGAGGAAGGGGAGGATGAGCTAAAAAAAACAAATGCACTCTACAAAAAGATAAATTTCCACAAGAAYAAATACGAGTAATTTTTCCAACTCCAAGACAGATGGTAAACAAAAGCCCATGAAATTCAATTCTCACAGACTTGGTGCAGGACACAATTACCTTTCTCTGTAGATTCACCAACAATGATCTTGCCACCCCTCTTGCTTGTTTTCTCTACTGACAGCGCTGTGCTGAGCCCCTGTTCATGTTTGCCCAGCCCCTGGCCTTCTCTGAAACCATATTTCTGCATGATTTTGTGAGCTACTGTCCCCCTGCAAAGAGAAAAACCATCAGTTAATAAAAAAAAATCAGTTTCTTCCAGAAAACATTAACACTGCATTTCTCTTGCATTTCTTACTACCTCCCAAAATATCCTTACAGAAAGGGAAAAAGCACAAGGGCTTCTAAAACTTACATGACTTTTTTCTATGCAAAAGGCTAAAAAGTCTGGCTATGTAATGTTGAAATGTTAAAACACTTTAGTCACAGAATAAATAGCCAATTGTGTGGTCAAAGTAAGGCAGATTAGGTCACATTTTTAGCCCTTCCTTCAGTGAAGATCCCAGAGTACTGTTAATTAAGAGATGCTAACAATGCACAAATTCATCCAACAGTACCACATTTGGCTATCCTTTTTCTGGACAATTAGAAAACCCCACCAAATCCAAAACCAGGTCTCTAAACTGTTTTTAGCTACAGATTAATCTTCACTTTGTTTCCACAGTAGTAACACAAGTATCACACAGAACAAAGAAAAGTAAATAATCAAATTTGCTGATTTTCCACAGCTGCTACATCCACACAAATAAACTTGGAATCTTTGAACAAAGCAGAGCTGAAATGATCTGAAATATCAATTTGCTGATATGTAGCAAATTCAAGACAAAGCTGGAAAAGAAACCTAGAGRAAATAACACGCCACCTGTGCTCTCAAGTATACTCATTGTTTGGTTTGTACAGGCCATATAAGCTTTATGCTGGAGTGTGGCTTAAAAGCACAGCCTGGAATGCAACCACCTCAGACGTGCTTCCCTCAATCCTGTCAATCCACATTTCCTCCTGTATCCTGCCAGTTTGGACTCTCTGAATTCAGACCAGCCACATACATGCAATGGCTTGTGTGTGTTCTTCTCTCCTAAAAAACTTTTTCAGCTTTTAGTTTCCACCATCTTCCAATGCCTCATCCCACAAAATGTGCAGAAGTCACCCATTTACCCCATGTTGGCGAGGAAGGAGTTGCTGGGTCCCGTGGGGGAACGAGGTCTCTCTGGCTCATCATACACTGGAGGAGGAATTGCTGCTTTGGAAGAAGGTGCCCGAGGTCTCGACTCTTCCTCATATGGGAATGATGCTACAGCTGCAGAAAACACAGAGATTTGCTTTTTTTTTTCAATAGAAGTCTAACAAACGATGAAAAAAAGCCTTTCATAAATACAAATCAGAAGTAGTTTTCCTTTGCATATGCTGTTTTAACATCTCCTCACCTCTCTCTCTCTCAAGAGAGAAAGAGGTGAATCCATGAAACAGGAGAGTTATTCTGGCTTTTCCTCACTGAATATAGATTTCCACAGCTCTATAATGCATTTAATAATCTCTTACTAAATGGAGAAAAGAAACATTAAGATGCCAGCTGCACTACAGAGAGTTTATCCAGAGGACAAACTTCCATTCACTAGGAACAGAATTATGACAGAAATAGATTAATGTACACAGCCTGAGGCCCAAGGAACGTAAGTAAAAATACACTGTACATTTGCAGAGAAGAGAAACCAGTCTATTAAAAAGAATTAAATGCAACTCATCTCACTGGGAATTTCTGAACTGTAGCTCTTCCTGGGGATGGAGATGGATCTGGCTATCTCAATCATACTGCTTAGAGTATTAAATCACCTTCCACTCACAAGTAAAATGGCAAAATGTGAAAAAAAGCCTAAAGAACACTAGAGAAGATATGTTAAAACACGTTTGAATAGAGTTTTGGACTTTGATCAGACTGACTTAATTTCAGAATATTTTCTTGTAGACTGGCTCTAGTATCTTAYCAAATAAAAGGTCAGACACAAAGTTTGGGGGTGTCATATGAGGAAAACCAATCCCTATTTAAGCAGTGGATGGACTGGACTATGGGACTTTTGCTATTTTCTTGTTTTCTTCCAGCCCAAATTTGAGCATCAAGTAAGAAGCCAAACAAAGGTTTCTTTGTGGGATCATATCACATTTTAAAAGGTCTCCTCATAAGGATACTCCTACTATTTCCAGCCTATATTTACTTTTCCTTGACACCTGTCAATTGCTCTTAATTATTTACTCAAGACAATCTCTTTCTGTTTTGAATGTTTACTCATGTCAAATGCTTTCACTGTTATATCATTCACTTAAGCTGTGGGGTACTTTTACATTTCAATCTTCTCATAAATAAAATGAGGACTCCCTGCCAGGTCCAACAGTACCAAGTTTGGCTATCCTTTGTGTGCATAAGATTCTTCCTTCTTGTTATTTTTTAAAGTAGACAACATACTGCTAATAATTTAAAAAAATGCAACATGGGAAACCAGGGAATGGTTTTTGTTCCTATAGCAGGATGATGCCATCTCGTGGACAACTGAGATCCTCACACCACCACTGCACACAAATCTCAATAGCTAAACTGTATCCATGAAAAACTTGTAAAATTCTGACTGTAGTGCATAACTCCTTCAKAAAAGATACTCACAAAGTACCTCCTAAAGGAAAGAGCAACGGAAAAATTCCCTCTCCACACTGTGGAGGTTTCTAGTCTACCCAGAGAAACCTCTGTGACATTTCTTCTTTCACAAGTGAGTAACTGCACGTTTGAAAGAGCCCAGCTTCCCCAACTACTTGTCYGGTAATACAGAAAGAATTTTTCAGCACAGAAATGTGAAGCAGGGCAGCATCACAGGTCCCCCACACTTCCCCCATCAACAAAGAACTAACACAAGTCCTGCTGCTACAAACAGYCCAATGGGAAAGGCAGGAGGACTTAACAGAAAGCTGAGTGAGAAATGAACACTGCTGGGTTTAGAGAAGAGGATTTTGGTGTACTCACGTTCTTTATCCTTCTCTACGAGAGAAGTGGGTGGTGCAATGGCAGCTCCTCCCATACCTACAAGCAAAATGGAACATAATAAATTTGAAGGACATCACAAAAGACCTGAATTATTTATTGTAACTTTGCTGCTGAAAGAGAATAAAGATTAAGTTTTTTTATGTAGATGTATTTCTGATCCACATCATCTGACAAGCTCTAGKGGCACTGAAGTAACAAATGCAGGAATGAAAAGCTGCAATAGTGAATACTCAATAGTGATTCTCACAGCCTGATATTATGTCATGCCTCACTCCTTCCCTGGAATCTACATCATGCAGAAATTTACAACAGGTATCTATCTACAAACTAAGGTAAACAGAGGTATTTSCACAAGTAATCTGGCTGCTATCTGCCTCCATGGAAAAACACCAGTATTCTGCATTATATTACCTTGTAGTGAAATGACAGRTTTATTCTAAAGGCTCAGAATTAACATTGTACTCATGTAAGGACAGAAAAATACAGACTCCATGAAACAGGACTGTGAATCCCCCCATTCTTTTTCTCCTCTTTCCACACCAAAAACATAAGCAGTTCCCTTACTTCTTTTCCGTCTCTCCCTTTCATAATCTTCATCTTCATCAGAATCTGGATCTGGTCTTCTTGAAAACCCACTGGCTTCATGTCTGTCTTTACGCCTTCTAGGAGACACAGCAARTTAGAATGAGAAACCATGGAAGTTAACCCTTTGCTTTAATTTGTGATCCCACCTTTGCAGTGTGAATTACTCTGCTCCATYCAACTGTCATTTAACATGTTTCCCATAAAAGTGCAAGTAAACACTTTCACCATTTGTTTCTCTGCTTTTATCCTCAGGGGGCATTTTTGACAAAATATAAGATGGATCCAAAACAAGATCATTTTTCACATACAAGTCAGCCAAGAAGAATGTATGGAAAGGAGGAAGCACCTCCAAACAGAGCAGAGTGACTGAATGACTACTGTGGAACACATATTAGATGGAACAGAGAACAAGGTAACAGACATTAATTAAACACCTTGCTTTGGACAGAATCCCTTTTACATTTCCCATCACAAGCTATACAGAGTAATAACATTTACTCAATAAAAAATATCCTCATGCTTAAACATCAGATTGTTGAGAAGTTTGCTTGGCAATTAAAATAAAATTCAGGCATAACTTTTAACACAAAGTAAGGAATGCTTAAAGATTTGTTTGCACTACAGCTATTATCCAATGTGATCAGGACATTACTCATTATAATAAAAAAACAAAAAGGAAAAGCACTTTTCCTCAAATGTTAAGAGCACAACCTGGTGCATAAATCAGATCTCATTCCTGGCACAGCCACCAAAACTACAGGATGCTATAGGATGCTAAAAACAGCTCTACTGTGGAGCCACCCAGAATTTCAGAATCTTTAYCCTGTGAAATCAAAACAAATGTACAGCCTGTTATCCCAAAGCACACATCTGATGCAGCTTTGGMTGAGATTGTTTCCCCAGTTTGAAATCAGAATGTATTATGCATTTTTCACCTCTTTAATGTTATGTATAAAGACTCTTGGCCCACATACAAGTATAAACTGGGAATGACATTCCAGATTTCTGAGGTCTTGTGCATTCCATCTCCATCAAAACAACAAAAATATAACCAAGAGAAGACAGAGAAGTCCCAATGACTAGAAATATTAATTTCCAYAATCTAAACAGGGCAGCAGAACTGTAATTCCAGACTTCAGATGATTCATACTGTGATAAGATGGCTTATTTCCTTCACTTCACTTAAAATGAGCAAATGTAATCTTCTGCCTGCCTGGCAGACATATTACCACATATAATAATCAGATATTGGATCTGCATTCAACTTCCTTAACATGAGTACAGAGGTTTCTTATTTCAGGGAAAGGGTATTAAAAACAAATAGTATTTTCTTTTGTCCAGAGATAATACAGTAATAAACATTTAATTAACTTATTTAATAATTAAATTACTTACGGACTGCAGAGTATTAAAAAAGGAAATGCAACTATGCCTCTCAAAGGCTGTGCTAGATACATTTAAAACTGAATGCATTCATGCATCAGTTTGTAGTTTTTAGAAGCAGGAATGATGGCTCATCACTGAGTGTCAAAAAGGCTTTTCTGTAGTCAGGTGACATTGACATAAAATATGCTAAAATACATGCAAGGTAGAAGTCTGATAAYGATGCATGAAGTACCCAAATACTGCAGTTATTATTGAAACAAAKTAAATTTAGAATAATTTTGACAAGGGTCTTTCAGCCAAAGAGGCTGCAAAGCTAGTAATTCTCCTTGTTTTTCCACTGTTAGGTGATTTTACCAAGAGCATTAAAACGTATTACTTAAAACACTACTTGTTTCTACAAGCACACAGTATTCACAAAACCTGTAAGAATTTCCCTGAAAGTAGAGAGATAAAATTAAACAAGTTGGCATGTCATTAAATAAGAGTCAATATATCAACAGTTTAAACAAAAGCCTTACTTTTCCCTCTCCTCAATCTCCTTTTGCCTCTCCAGCTCCCGCTGCCGCTGTCGTTCCTCTCTCTGACGTTTCACCACTTTTTCGTAGTCATTTGGGAACATGGGATCATATTCATCTGCCAGAGGAATCAACACATCTCCTGCAGAAAAACCACTAGGGACAGGATCCTTACAAAAAAAAAAAAAGAAAAAGGAGCTTTTTCAGCTGAGATCAGAAAACAATGTCAAGCTGGAAAGCAGAAATGTAACACCTCCATTTCCTGACTTCTGTAATATCAGGTAATATCCTAATGCCACTGGTGCTAGAAGAAATCTTGGCTTTATTTAAAACTAACATTTCATCCAGTCTTCTCATTACATCAATTTTTCCCATGAAGAAAGAACCACCCCCTCTCCTTGCTGAATACAAAGGAGCAGCAAATCACTATGGGCAAGAATTTTTCAAATCCCATTAATTAATTATTAGAAGCTTTATGGCATCTTGCTGCTGCAACCATCTGCCACGGTCCTCCCACACAACCTCACCAGGCTTTTTATCAGCTGTTATTAATATGATACTAACAGAGGCACACAGACTGTTCTTCCCTAATCTGAAAGGACTATTTCAGAACTTTTGCTTTGAAAAAGCTTCAGGGAGAAAGTTTCTCTTGATTCCTTACCATGAGAAATCCATTTAAAAGCTTAGGTGGCTTTTCTTTTATTTTTCAGTTGATTGTTATACAGGTCCAGCTCCAACACTGGTGCAATCACTATTACAGTCATTATTTAGCTGTCTTGTCAAGTAGTTTGAAGCTGTCCAGAAGGAATATTCTAAGAACACTGCTTTATAACTGCACATTAACTGAGGCAATTCCATGCTGTATCACATGGAAGTCTGTATAAAGTTAAAATGTTCATTAATTAAACAACTCTCAGCACAGGAAAGCMTTCTCACAAAATAATCATCTTTTTGACCACCAGGAGACATTCAATTCCAAAATTTTTTTTTGGACCATTTAGCTGCCCTTACCTTTAGCCCAGCTGCTACGTGAGGGGGTGTRTCCACAATCTGTCTCTCATCAGAGGAGCTGCCTCGTTTCAGGTCAATCACTGGAGCAAGGACTGTGGTTTGTTTTGTCCTCTGACTCTGCAAAAATCACCAAAACACAAAATGTCTAAAAGAGCTTTAAGACTATTTTCTAAAAATCAGCTTGCTCAATGCACTTTGCAATGGTAGGTGAACTGTCCTAGGTTTTGACTGGGACCAGAAACACACATTAAAAATTCATACAATCTCTTCAGGTGAGTTTGAACTGAGTTACTTTGCAAGAATCTCAGATTTATTCCAAAGATCTACTGTTCTTCCCTTTTATCACCAGTTAAAATACTTTAATCTGTTCTGAACTCCTGAGTTTTCTAATCCTATCCTACTCTTCTGTTGGCTGGGATAYTCTTCTGGGTTATGGATACACAACACATCAGTTAAATGAACAAAGAATATAATTAATATAGCAGTCAGAGATTTCCATTCATGCAGTTTGTTCCAATGATCATCTAAATCCTACCCCCAACTTTAGCAGCATAAATCAGGAGTAATTCCAATGAAAAAATGCTGTGCCTACTTAAGAACTTGGCATTAATGCTACTACTTCTTTTTTAATTCAGTAATCTCACTACAGAACCTACACAGTCCAAGGTGCACTGGTGTCCAGCTTGAAGCAAAATATCGACATTGCTCAAAGAGAAATGTGGAAAAAAGAGAAGCAGCAATAAAAAAAGGAAATGGCTCTGCCACAGTTTAAGATCAAGGAATTAGCCTGCACTCCTCTCTTTCGCCTACACTGGAAAAATCCCACGAAAATTACCCCAAATTGTTATTCTGAGGTCACAAACACAATGCACTGAACGCAAAAGAAGTTTGAATAACAGAAAACAAAACCACAAAGGGACTGTACCTTTGCTTGTGTGAGAGCTGCTTTCTTCACCTGCAACTGAGACTGCAGCAGYTTGAAATTCTTGGACCAGCCTTCTGTTTTGGAATCACTGGTCTCAACCCCCAAGTCATCGTAAAGTGACATTTTCTCTTCAATTTAAAACTGAAAGACAAAAAGAAAACAAAAAAAACAAAGTTCAGATGACACGATGAACCTATTTCCAGGTTATTCACCTATAATTTGCATATATGGGTACACTATAATTTATTTTACTTTTCCTAAAGCCAGAGAGAATTGACCTTTTCCTGGCTAGTGGTAAATACACATAACTAGAGCAAAGCTGTATAAAACTAACAGTTTGAACGATAATGAAAACTGCTCAAGAATTAATTTAATCCTGCAGTGGAATATGAACAATTAGGACTCAACAGAATGGAGTTTACTGCAAAAAAAGGAGGTGGTTTCAGAGATTATTAAACATCTGGGCACAGGGGATGAAACAGGGAGGGGGACAGTGGTTCTAAGACACAGAAAGACAGGATGAGGACAGGGTGCTGTAGGAATTCCCACCTGCCACAGGGAAKTGGGATTTAGACAGCAGAAGTGCTACCTGTGCTGGGGGAGACAGGATGCACTGGTGGATCACAGAATCAATGAAGCTGGAAAAGATCTCTGAGATCGAGTCCAAGCYGTGACCCAACACCACCMTGTCAACCAGACCAAGGCACTGAGTGCCACATCCAATCTTTCCTTGGATACCTCCAGGGATGGGGAATTCASCACCTCGCTGGCAAGTCTGTTCCAATGCTTAGCCACCCCTTCTGTTAAGAATTTTTTCCTGATGCTCAGCCTGAACATCCCCTGGCACAACTTGATGCCATTTTCTATTGTTCTGTCRCTTGTTACCGAGCAGAGCCCGACCCCCACCCGGCTGAACCCTCCTGTCCGGGAGTTGTGGAGAGCGAGAAGATCTGCCCTGAGCTTCCTTTTCTCCAGATTGAGCCACCCCAGCTCCTCCACATCAGACTTGTGCTCCAGACCCTTCTCCAGCTCCGTTGTCCTTCCCTGGACAATGTATGGATGTATAAATGAATGCAGGGAGTGCGCTTTCACCGTGGAGAAGTGAGCGAGGCACAGGRGCTGTCCCCACGATAAATGGAAGCGATCTCCGCCGCTTTGAGAACAGAGGGGGCGAAGCAGGCCCTGACCCCCCCTCTACCTCCCACACAGGCCCAAACCCCTCCGAGGAAGCGCTGAGCGCTGCCCTGCCCTGTCTTGCCCTSCCTCCCCACACCCCGCGGAGCCCTGAGCCGCCTCCCCACGGGACCGGAGGCGAGGCCGGGCCCGGAGCCGCCACTCACCCGTCCCGGCGCCGCCGCCGCCATGAGCCGGCGCTGAGGGTGCCGGGAAGGGCCGCGCCTGCGCACTGCGCCCCGCGCCGCCGCCGCGCCAGCGCCCCCTGGCGGCGGGAGGAGGGAGCGGCACCGCCGCCATTGCCGCGCCTCACACCCTTCCCAGTATGGACCAGTGGGGACTGGGAGAGCGGCATTGCCGCCATTCGCGGCCCAGTATGGACCAGTATGGACTGGGAGAGCCGCATTGCCGCCATTCCCGCCCCAGTATGGACCAGTATGGACTGGGAGAGCGGCACTGGCGCCATTCGCGGCCCAGTATGGACCAGTATGGACTGGGAGAGCCGCATTGCCGCCATTCGCGGCCCAGTATGGACCAGTATGGACTGGGAGAGCGGCACTGCCGCCATTCCCGCCCCAG